ATAAATAGTAGGGAAACGGTTGAGATCTCTTGATGATCTTAATTAATAATTACATGGTGATGACGTTGAGGAATTGCTCTGAAATTTTTTTCAGCAAGACAAGAAGCAAGGCGTTTGAACAAGGGAAGGCAAAATTTTTGCCTTTGATTATTTTTTATGCAAACATTACGAGAGATTGAACAACATTATAAAGTCAAGGAATTGGACCTTCAGCTACCACAATCTAGAATGGTAAAAATAAATATTTTATATATTCACCAACCCTCATGACCAAGAGATCTTCAAGCCATAGAGAACTATTGAAGTTATGTTCCGTTGATGCTTTTGCTACTAATTGTCTGTTATTTGCTTTTTGCCCCTTGAAGAATTTTTATACAATGTAATAATAAAAGGTAAAAAGTAATATCATAATTCATTTAAAATGTACCAAGAATTAAAATTTAACACTAATTATAACTTTAATATTCTATATAGAAATAGCATGGGGCATTTTGAAATCTTAAAAAGTCACATATTTTGTATGTAATATCAACGAAGTAAGAATTTCTAGAATACATATAAAAATCAATAAAAATTTTAAGGATTATGCACAAATTATATAATATTTTTAAATGAAAATCAAGTATGGAAGTCGAATTAAGGCTAGAGGCAAAAAAGTAAACAAAGCATGAGCATATCTTTTGTGCATACTGTACACACAAATTTCTCGTCAAAATTTCTTGACTTGAAAATTATGAGACAAATACAAATATTTGATGATGTGAGTGATAATCTCTGAAAATTCCTCTAATTAATTTCTTCACTTCGTTTTCAAGAGTCACGAACTTGGACTTTATCTTGATCACGAACTTCGCTATTGCTTGATCACAAATTTCGCCATTGCTTTATCACGAACTTCACTGTTGCTTGATCACGAACTTCGCCGTCGCTTGATCTTCACCCCTGAAATCTTACATTCTTCTTGATCTTTAAAATGCTCTCAATCTTCTAATGTTTCCGAATGAATGAAAATGGCTTGGAGGAACCCCCTATTTATAATGTTAAGTGAGAGACTTTGATGAGAATGAAATCTCTTTGAATTATCTCTAAATAAATTAAAATTTATTTAGAGATAAATTATGATCATTGAAAGTTTTTTGATTGGCCGAACTTTGAGTCCTTGAATTTTGATTGACCGAAGTTAGGTATTATCTCCAAATTATCTTAATTTATTTAGAGATAATTTAAATAATCTAATTTGATTTTTATCTCTAAATTAATATAATTAATAGAGATAATTTAAATGACCAATAATTAAATTTTGATTGGTCAAAAATATGAAGATTATCTCCAAATTATTTTGATTTATTTAGAGATAAATTAGATGATCAATAGCTAATATTTGATTGGTCAAAATATAAATATTATCTCTAATTTATTTTGATTTGTTTAGAGATAAATTGGATGACCAATAGCTAATATTTGATTGGTAAAAATATAAATATTATCTCTAAATTATTTTGATTTGTTTAGAGATAAATTTGATGACCAATAACTAATTTTTAATTGGTCCAATTTAAATATTATCTTCAAATTATCTCAAGAGATAAATATTTACCAATAGGTGAATTGGTTCAACTATATGTCTTTAAAATAATCTAACCAATAAATTAATTATTTTATAATTAATTATATGATTAAAATATTATTAAATCCACATGACGACACGTAATTGGCTGATAATTTTTTTTTCTTCTACACATACAATAAAACGACACAAGATAAAAACGTTTAAGACACGAAAGGCTAAAACAACACTCAGCACTGACGTATAGCCTAGGTTCAGACACAAAACACACTAAACGACATTTGAAGCCTGCATTTTACTAAATTGAATTTAGTAAAGTTGAAACGGCATAGTTTTGCATTTTTTGGCAACTTTCTTCCTTTTTCAAATGTTTGTTATTTCCTACCATAGCTTTGTTACTCCTGTTTTAACAAGCTAATGATCATTCTTCAACACACGTCCATAATCATTTGCTTGGTAAACACCCTAACACGATCTGAAGAATTCAAACTTATCTCTATTTAATCCTTTAGCCAAGATATCAGCTAATTGCTCATCTGTTGGACAGTACTAGAACTCAACTTCCTTTTTTTTAGCAGCATCTCTTAAGGCATGGTATTTAACCTTAATATACTTGGTTCGACCATGTTGCACAAGAATTTTTGCAATGGGAATGGCAAACTTGTTATCTATATTTAGAATTGTACTTTTCATTTGTTTGAATCCCAAGTCAGACAAAACCTTTTAACATATGGAGTAGGCTCAGCAAGCTTCTATTAAAACCATGACTTCTAAAATGTTCATCAATCTTATCATACCAAGCCTTTAAAGCTTATTTGAGACCAATTAAGGCTTTGATGAGTTCGCATACTTTGTTTTAAAAACCCTTTACTTCATATCCTTCAAGTTGTTATCTATAAATATCCTCTATCAAGACTCCATTTAAGAAATCTAACTTAACATCCAAATGATATATCTTCTAGCCTGCCCTAGTTGACAAAATAACAAGTAATCTTATCATGTCATGCCTCGCTATAAGTGCAAAGATGTCTAAATAATTAATCCTATAAGTTCGTGCATATCCTTCACAATTAATCTGGCCTTGTACTTGTTAACAGTGCCATTTGAATTTACCTTGGTCTTGTAGATCCATTTAACCCCAATGACATGTTGGTTGCTTGGTTTCTCAACTAAAGTCAAGGTTCCATTATTCAGTATCATGTTTATTTCAGCATACATTGCAGCCTTCCAATTTGCAACTACATTAGCATCAGTATAGCTGACTGGATCTGAAACAACAACATTGCATCTATTGTATATGTCATGAAGTGTCCTAGAGCCTTTAATTGCTAAGTCTTCATTTTCAATATCAGTAGATTCATTTTCATCAATGTGCAGTAGATTGTCACTAACAAAAATGTTATTTACAGAACCATCAATTGTGTTACTTTTCTAATTCCATTTTTACCTTTCATCAAATTTGACATCCCTACATATGAAGAGCTTTTTGGAGTCCATGTCATAAAGTCTATAACCTTTGGAATGCTCATTGTAACCAAAGTGTATAGTCATAACTGACTTAAGATCAAGTTTGGCCCTTCTTTCATCAAGAACCTTGGCATAGCAAATGCAACTGAAGGTTTACAGATGACTTACAAATGGTTTATGCTTGTATCAAAGTTCACAAGGTGTTTTGAGGGCTAGAGAGTTGGTATAGGTCAAGTTTAGTAGGTAGTAGGCAATATTAACTACTTTTGCTTAAAATACCCTTAGTAGGTCCTTTTCAAACAACAAGCTCCTAACCATTTCACCTAACGTTCTATTCTTCCTTTTTGAGATATCGTTTTGTTGGGGTGAGTAAGTCATTGTAAGCTGGTGTTTGACACCCAGCTTTATTCAAAATTCTTCAAATTCAACTGATGTAAATTCTATGCCATTGTCACTTTTTAACGTTTTTATGCTCAATTGAGCTTGATTTCCAGGTAGGGCTATTCTTCAAATTCATCAGCTATTTCAACTACTACAACCTTACCTTCTACATTAGACTTCTTAGCTTTACATACCTTCTCCACATGGCTTAACTAATTGCAAACCGTACACTTCACATTTGGCCTATAGTAGCAATACTTGGAAGCATGGTTTTTCTTCTTGTAGTAAGGGCATGAAGGGTACTTTTCATTTTGCTTCCCATACTTCCCATCACCAAATTTACTTCCATTACCTTTAAACTTCTTTGACCCTCCACGCCTTCAGTTTTGGCAACTAATGCATTCTCCATAAAATCTTCACACTTGAAGGCCTTTCTCTGCTTTTAAACAAGCAATGCACTAAACAATTTATTCACATACATTCTTGTTAAGCCTTTTGAATCTTTCAAAGATGAGATTTTAGCTTTAAATCTCTCTAGTAGACTCACCAAGATCTTGTTGACCACTCTTCTTTCTCTCATTTCCTCTCCTAAAAGCCTTAGTTAATTCACCAACTTCATAACTTTGTCTATGTAGTCCTTGATACCTTCTTCTTCTTTCATTTTCATGATTTCAAACTGTCTTGAGAGATTCAATGCTTGCATTTGCCTGAGCTGAACACTTCCTTGATATTTTTTTTTTGAAATTGCCCCAAACTTGTTTAAGGCCATCATAATTCATAATCTTAGCAAAAATAGTATTTCAAACAGCAAATGCAAGCATAAAAGTGCCTTGTAGTATTTTGTAATTTTCTCACTATGTTGTTTGATTTGAGCCAATGTGGGATTGGCATGCCTTTGCACAAGAAGGTCCACACCTACTTCAACTACATTCCAAAGATCAAAAGCCTTTAAACAGGCTCTCATCTTCACTCCCCAAAACTGATAAGTAATACCTGAGAAAATTAGAAGTGCTGAGTGCTAAAGCTTGCTATTACTATTGAACTTAAAATCAATCAACAATTTGAAGAAGATTCAAGGTGAGAATCAAATCATAAGTCCTTCAAAAAGCTTTAACTCTGATACCATATTGTGATTTTGAAGAAATGATTTCTAGAAATCTTAAAAACTTAAAGAATAGTAGAAATTTTGAAGGAGAGAAAAATGATGAATTAGTAAAAGAACTTAAAAGGCTCAATCATCTCCATTTCATATTCAGCTATTTATACCACCATTTGAAAATGAAAAATTAATTTGAGCTTAGATGTAGCTTAGGAGAATAAAACTACAAACAAATGATCAACTAACTAGGCATATAAAACAAGCATAGTTTTCTGTGCAATACAATGGCTAACATAACAAAAAGAGAAAATAAACATGTGGCATATAGCCTTACAAAAAAGAATAAAACGACACAAGATAAAAACGTTGAGGGCACCAAAGGCTAAAATGACAATCAACACTAACATATAGCCCAGGCTTAGACACAAAACACACTAAATGGCATTTGAAGCCTGCATTTTACTATATTGAATTTAGTAAATTAGAAATGGCATAGTTTTGTATCTTTCGACAGCTTTCTTCATTCTTCAAATGTTTGTTACTTCCTGCCATAGCTTTGTTACTCTTGTTTTAGTAGGCTAATGATCATTCTTCAAGAAGAAGTTACAGGTAGTGGACTGTCTGAAGAAGGGGTTGGGGGGTGAAGAGAGGGAAAGGTGGTGATTAAAAAGGTAGGAAAAGGTTGGGAAAGGTAGTGAAGAGGTGAGGGTCTAGCTTGGCAATGATGGAAAGAGAAATGTGGTAGAGAAGCTAGACTAAAGGGATGATAACAGGTCTCAATCGATGCTTGACTTCTGCTAATCTGTGTATTGGCTCTTTTAACTACTAGGGTGACAAACGGGTGTTGATGTAACGATCTTGAGATTGTGCTGCATTTACTGGCAGTGTTGATGGCATTTTTCTTTATAGGCAACAAAGCAATTGATGATGAGCAATAGAGCTGTTTTTTTTTTTTTTTGTAACAAAGATTTTTGTGTCTGCATTTGTGGTAGGATCAATGCCAGCTGCTGGGTAAAGCCCCCAAAGCAAGGGTTTTAGGCTTCAAATTTGGAGAGATCCATAATTTTATAATAATAATATAGTATTTAATTATATTAAAAATATACAAAAATTAAAATAATTAATAAAATATCTACTTATTCTCTTATGCCTAGAAAATATCTCTTTTCTCTCACTTCCACGCCCCTATTAATTCTCAATTATTCTTCTCATTTCTCATTAAAAATATGTAAACAAGATAATTAATAAAATGACATATTTTCTCACTTCCCTAACTAACAAATATCAATTTTTAATTACTTCTCAATTCTCACAATATTATTAATGCTTCCGATCGACCAAGGAAAATATGTATTTAATGATCTCCAATAACCATTTTTTTCCTATATATAAAAGCAATTATCTTTTTTTTTCAATTTATAATATCTACTTATGAATTCTTCTTTCCTCATTTGCTATTCCTTAATTTCAATAAAAATGCATCATTTTCTTAATTTCAATAAAAAAAAACCTCATTTGAATTTTTAACTTTGGGCTTTTAAGATTATTGAGCCACCCCTAGTTGGGATGCTGGCATTAGCAGGGAACCTTTTTGTGCAATACTGGCTGTTTTATCTCCACTTTCTCGGTTTACCAGTGCATGGCAAGTGTGTTTCTTGATAGCCTTTGCAGCAAGTTTACGGCTAAGGGTTGACTGGCAGTTGTTATTTAGTTCTGCTCAAATTTGTCAATAAGCTGCTTTTTCGGGTTTTTTTTTTTTTTTTTTGCATTTAGTTGAGTTCATTAGGTCTTTTGAAAAAGTTGCTGCCAAAGTCTTGTTGAGCGGCAGGGTTTTTTCTTTTCCTTTTTTTTTTTTGACAATTATACAGGTTTTTTCAGCCCTTACCAGCCCTTTCACTGTTAATAAAATTATTTTTCACAAAAAAAAAATTAATGTATTTATACTATCAAATGTGTTCCTACTGCTCATATTTGAAGTATTAAGAAAAATAAGTAGTAAAAAGTTCATGTGAAAGAAAAAAAAAATCAACAGAAAACTGATCCTGGAAGGCATACTAGCCGATGAACCCTTAGCTTCAAAAAAGCACAGACCCTGTAACAAATAGGCACTCTCCCTTAAGCCAGTGCTCAGTGCTCCCTTAACTTGCAGCACACGCATATGACAAACCGCACAGCAGCACTACCCTTTCAGCATTTTAGGGTACCAGTAACAGCAACAAAAAACCACCCAGACGTAAGACCATCAGAGTAGTAACGGCAGCAAGCTACATAATCAGCATTAACACCACCACATGGGCAAACACAGCAAGACACCACCAGTATATATACACACAGAAACCCAAGCAGTATCATCACAAATAGTTTTCAAAAAGCAGCCAGAACCAACCGAAATAAACACAAACGTTTTAATTTGAAAATTCAGTTCGCGAGCAAATGTGTTTTTGAGTTTATTTAAATTTGCAATAAATTTGGCACTTCATTATTTGACTCAATAGTAGGTGTTTGTATCATCCGACTAAAATAGTTTATTTGAATTGTCCTTCACAAAGTAACGTAAAAGAAAAGAGTTGAAATAAATCTGGCATTTATATTTGTTCCAAACATAAAGTTAAATATAAATTTGCTGGGTTTTTGTTCTTCATTGTTGTTCTTCCAGATGGGTGGGAATTCAGTTTATAGCAGGTTCATGTTTTTTTTTTTTTTTCCTGAGCTTTCAATGAATTGCTCTTGTCTGTCACAAGTCTTTGTCTTCCATCGACTAAGGACTTTTGGCAGCATGCCTATATATTTTGGCTGATGGATATACGTTTCTTGCCTTTCAAATAAAACTAATGAAAGTAATTCACTGACTCCAGTTAATTTGTAAACTGATCCAGCTTTATTTCTGTAGAAAGCAACAGATAATATAGTTTAACAAGGCACATTTGCTACAAACTAATAAAGCTTTATATTTAAATTCAAGTGACATGATGACCAAGTAAGGAAAAAGTATGGACGAAACTTGCCTAAGAGATAGTCAACTCCCTATAAGCAGTAACATCTAGGTCTAAAGTTTCCAGTTTTCCAAGGATATTAAAATGCTATTTTTTAATATAAAAAAATTAGAATTTGACTCTTTAAAGCACTTAACATTAAATCAAATATTCAGGTATAATATACGTTAAATACTATAATTCAAGTTATTTAGGACACAGCATGCTGCAGGCCAGGACACATGTTGCATTAAAAGATTGATTTCTTTAGAATAATAATATTTAAAATGAAATTCTTGACGTTATCATCCTTTAAATTTAATCCTCAAAAGCCAAAGTATATGTTATGTGCAGAGACATGTAAGACGCCGAAAGATGGAAGCCACCACTGTTCACTGTTCAGGTAATAATTATCAATTTAATTTATTTATATATTGATTTGGTTAATATCACCCTCGTAAATTTCACGCTTTTGGATAATACAATAAATTCAGTTGTTTATTGGAAACAATAATATTTTAACTGTAATAATACTTTTTTTTATTATTATATATAACTATAATTTTAGTGTATGCTTTCTTAATTATATATATCAAATAACGAACAATATATATATATATATATAATCAAAATGGAGGTTGGACAAGGAGACCAATGATTATCTCGTTTTAAACAAAAAATGAAATTTTGCTAATATCCTAATTTCCTAATTATTAAAATAAACATGTTTTAGAGGCTATTAACATAAGCATTTTTATCAGATTATAAGTTGTTAAACATGATAGGATTTTTGAGGTCAGTTCGACTTTGCTTGTGATATTTTATATTATTAAATTATTTTTTAATTTTTATTAAAAATATTAATATAAAAATATCTTTAATATCTTAATAATGAATAAATTTAAATAGCTGGACTAATGAATAAATTTAAATAGGCGGACTGAACTTTATTTAAGCCTAAGTATTAGAGTTACCAACCCAAACCAGTCCATGGACAACTTTGACACACACTAGGTTGAATTTTATTGGGTAATTAATTAATATCAATAGAATAAAATTCCTTTCTGTCTTAATAAATTCTTTAGTTTAAGTTGTGATTGAAACTGAATGTGTGAGTAGGGAGTGAGTGGCATGAATTGTGCCTAAATCATATGATGCTTACTTTATTGTTAAAAGAAAAGATCCAGAATGAGAACCTAAAGATGTTTCTTTTTTTTTTTTAATAAGCCTGTAAATTTTTCATCGAAACAAATGAGGGTTACTTCAATTGTAACCACCATATAGAGAACAAAAGTTTCTGAGCACATGAGCCGATCAATCTCACTAGACCTATACATAATACACCCAGAATCTTGGTACTTAATAGCATGGCCTAAAGAAAAACATCCAGCCAATATCTTTGGATATCCTCCCCACTGAAGTTGACCCAACACACTATGGATATGAAACAAACAAGTGCATCTTACATGTATGTGTGATATACAATCTCAATAAATAGACACAAGGAGA